GTCAAATTCATTGGCAAATTAGTGACACGCAGAAGACATTCTTCGCATTAACTCAACAATCATCCAATAAGGTTGTGTGAAATTTCTCTTTTCGTATCGATTAGCAAAAAAAAAACTATACTCTAAGCAGCGCTTTAATTGAATACATCTCTTCATTCAACGGAATCGACGACCAACCTTCCAGAACACTACTACAGGGTTCGTCGTCGCGATCCAGCTGCCATTACACAATGCAACTTGCAATGAGAACTTCCTAGATATCAGTCGATTGCACAAAGTGTAGTCAGAAGATATCACAAACAATGCTTTCAGCAACGATTTCAGAATCTAATCACACTTAACCACCATTTTGCTATTCAATCCTTGAATTAGAGCGCTACTGCGAGTTTACAGTATAACTTCACAATGATAGCACATAAACACATACAAAAGCTGGACAAATAGCTGGATGGATGGATGAATGGATTGATTAGTGATCAGAACCAAGTTCAACAGCAATCGATCAGTTGGTGGCAGATTCGCTTGAAATTTCTGAATGAATTCAAACCGAGCGCTTCTTGGCTGACTCAGCAGACAGATACCGACAAATGAAACAAACGACAGAACGCATTGGATCGATTGAATTTTGGATGTTACTGAAGAACAAAAAGTGTGCGCAACACTTGATGATGTAGAAGATGACAATGATGGATGTAAATTCGGTATCAGAATTTACTAATAATCGTAAGACTCGATTCAGTTCGTTCAAGAGAGCGAGTGGACAAGGATTAGAACTAGAACCAATGGCAGTGTTCAAAACGAGTGAATAGACGGAATGCACAACAACCGCATAAAGCTAAATTTATAAGAAGAATTTCAGAAGTCATATTAGATAATAGAGTATATACACCACTGAATTAAACAGATACAATTATTCTACGATAACTAGCATATGTGAAAAAACCATTTCTCCTTATCTATGCATATCGCTATGACAACCCGATCTCAGTGACATATGTGCAATCGGATTTCAATGAGTTCCTCGGAGATAACCTATTGCTTATGAGTCAATCAATGATATCTTATCATTTTGAAATGATTTCAGTCCCTGGAGTATTTTGCAAGCATCAAAGAAAGCGAGTGATGGAGTAAACTCTCAGAAGACACCTATCCTATCCTATACGAACCAAAACAAACAAACAAACACACACACACGCAAATAAAAACTGAAGCTAACCGAATATGGCAAGAAGTTACAAATGAGATGAAGTTGGTCTCATCTAATCAAAAAAGAAATGAAAAGAAACGAATGAACAGTACATCATATACCGATAATCAAACATACAATATCAGTGTAAATTCTTTGAAGTCAGGTCAAATAGAGATTAAAAGTTTAAAGAATTCAATTTGTTGAAGAACAACTCAAGGACATCACCACAAAGTGAATGAACAGTTAAGAAATAGATTGAAGAATCCAGAAAACTGATAATTTCCTAAACGAGCTGCCATCACTGTAAGAACAGAACAAGTTTAAGTGGTCGTCGTCGGTTGACTCGAGGAAACAAATGAAATCATGAGTAAAACGAGTTGAATGATTATGTGGCGTTGATGCATTCATCTTTTCTTATCACTAACTTATCAAAGTAATGAAATTGGCTAGCTGAGTGGTATTGGACAAGTCGATCAATATGATCGTAATTGTCCGATCCAAACGAACACCACCAGCGATGACGGTACATGGCTAATAGCGTTTTCAGTTTATTTGTTTAACTGCCCGATGCGTTGAGTGTGCCTCCGCTGGGACGAGTTTTTTGGATAAAAATATTCTCGGTTGTACCAAAAACCATTCAAAATCATCAAAATTTCAAAGAAATTTTCGATAATCTTTTTCTCAACCAGTTTGCGATTTTTTCGAACTCTTTTTTTAAAATGCGAATATTGCTCTCAGTTCGTTGATTTATTGTTGGAGGAATTCAAATGAGTTCATTGGAACGTTTCGATGGGAAGTTGATTCCATCAGTGAATCAAATATGGTCGAGAGATGGCACAACAGCAATAAATAATATCATTAATTATAATAATAATAATAAT